ATATATTTATATGTTGATGGAGGCTTTTCTGTACTTAAACTTTGAACTTTGAGGGAAAATTTTCTAGACATTTCATTCAAAAAGTTATTTTAAAGTTTTCATATACAGAACAGACCAACACTCTCCTGTATGGCAAACATCTGATTTTTAAAATGAGATTGAATTGTGGGATAACTGGAGTCAATTTCCTATTTTTTATACCCTTCTATAAATATCCATCCTAATGCTATTATCCTAGGAAGCTTGCAGAAAGTTAGAAATCTTCAGATACTGTTCTTCTTAGATCATATTAGTCCACAAAAATTAATGAGTTTTGTCTTACTTTCATATTTTCACTATACAGAAATTTCTAGTCCTTGTTTTTCTCTAAACATTCATCTAACAAACATCTACCTTTTTTTTTTTTTAAGGCCCTGTTATTACTTCTTTACCTAATCCCTAATTAGATGTGAAATGTGCTACATTTAAGGCCACATATTTTAAGTAATAACTTTGATCCAAAACCTTTGTCTACAATAAAATTAAGACACTGGGGATCTACCACCTGCTGTAGCAGATGCTTATATTGTGCCAAATGCTGTGACTCTTGGGTTTGTTGTTATTGTTTGTGTGTTATAATAAAACATTTTAAATAAAGGGAAGCAAATGTTAGTGGTACACAAGCCTACAGAGGATTAAAGAAGAAATAGTACAAACCTTTGAAACTAGTTTGAATGCTAATGTTTAAAAAGAAGAATTATATAGCTCAAAACTTCTGGTTAAGGAGCAAAAGAAATATTTTAACAACTATCACTTGATTTGAATGATGTTTGAACTTAAAAATTGTGCATTCTAGTGCTTTTTTGCTTGTTAGGATTGGGTTTTTAGCTCCCTTAGAAGTCCCTCACAGTTTAGAATTACTTTAACTTCATTTGGAAGTTACTGCATACCTAAAGATTATTTGTTATTCTCAAATGAAAATATATCGTAGCTAAACAAAATAGTAGTATTTTAAAATACGCACTTCACCAGCTACCAATACCAGCCATTCTGACTAGAGACACGATAGAAGGTCCCGGAAAGATTGGAAGTAAAATGTGGAGCAAAACTCACATTCTTCAAAAAGGCTAGAACTACTAGACCAAGAGTCTAGCGGAACCTCTGAGATAACCTTTGAATATGGAACTGAATGCTGTCTGTGCTTGAGCTAAATAATAGATTGGATTAGAAAGTAAACAGTATCACCTGAGAGTACTGTGTTCCCTCACACAGTAAACTATATGAGACCAAAGAAATAGTCAACATTTACCCAAAGATGAGACAGCAGGAAGCTAGGTCAGCGGAAACCATGGAAATCATGAGAGTGCTGACACATTGTGAACATTGTAACCAGTGGTAATGGAACGATTTGTCTGAAAACTGTTAAAAGGGGACCTAATTTGCAGTGTAAAGTTTCACCTTAAATACAATAAAATATTAAAATTTAAAAATCCCTGCTCAGGGAGGTTAGTAAATCCTATTAAATTGAATCAACTGAGGGTAGAGGAAGTATGCATTACAATACAAAAATATGTTTTGAAGTTTGTTATTTCTTTTCTATTTATAGTTAGTTTCAGCTACCTTCAACTCATTTGCTTTGTGGTATAATTTCACTAATTAGCTGCTATGGGACTTTGGTTGTGTAGTTAGTATAAATGGCAGGAATGGCTTGCCCATTTTCAGTACCTTTATGACATAGTTGCAGGATGAGGACTAAGGTCCTTTTTTTAAACCAATTTTATAAAATGTGTTTCAGGTCTTTGGTTATCTTGCTTGACTCTTGTCCAAGATGCCCTTCATTTTAAAAGGTTTTTTTCTTCCCATTATCTCTAAAATGTCTTACTTTCTCTGTCTTGGTTTTAGAATAGTTTCATTATACTATCAATTTCTAATGTGTTTTTTATTCACTATTTGCTATATTTGTTTTAATATATGTTCTTGTTTTAGCAGGTAAAAGAATCATAATTTAGTTGGTTTTAAAAAGAACATTAATGATGATTCTCTAATTTAATAACTGCCTTGTATGCATTTTGCACGTAAACTTTTTCATTAACATCTGGGATCTTTAGTAAAACAAGGGAAGACTCCAAGTTTAACAAGAGGTTTTCATAGAGCTAAATTCAGTATTAACTGGTCTACCTTCACTTCCCCATCCTTCAGGAATGGTCAATCTCTTAACATTCGCTGCATTCTTGAAAGCTAATTGTTACTTATCTGTCTAACAACACTAGGTCACCAAACTTGGCAGTAGAAATAATCTGTTTATTGTGGTAACTGCCCCAGATTACTTTATTATTTTTCCACATTAAGTTCAGAATATTCTGTGGATATATTTATTGCTGTTTGTGATTTGCAAAAAAATCATCAGTGTTTGAGAGCATTAATTGAGTTTATAAATAATATGAAAGTCAAATTTTAGTTCAGATTTATCTTTTTCTAGAGCTGATCCAATATTAGAAACTGATCTATAGTTAACCAAGAGTAGGAAATATAAAGTTAAGCAGGTTTTGATGAGTTAAAACTCATTTACTTTGCATATGCTCTTCAAATATTAAACATTTTTGTTTCTTATTTGCTTAAAAATTAATGCAGGGACCATAGACAGCGATGTGTCTCTTATTCAGATAGTATGCATAAGATGTAAACTTATAAAATGTCAGTGCAGCCTTCTTTATTATAAGACAGCATTTAAAAAGCAGCAGAAATCTATTACTTAGGTTTTCACTGAGGCCCACAGTCAAGCACTGGACTGGTAACCACCAAACTGGCAGTCCAAACTCACCAGCTCCTCTCAGCAACCCTCTATACACAGCAACATTGTAAACATAAACCCTCTCTTCTTTATAGAGGATTTATTTTGTGTCTGTAATAAAACATTATTTCCCCATGTATGCTGTGAAATAAATCAGCTTCAGATAGCTCCCATTTTTCAAAAATTCACTTTACACCACATAACTTTTACAAAAGATCTTTATTGGTACCTATTTTGCTAACTGAAAGAAATCTGGAAGATTATCACTTTTATGAAGAAAGGCAAAACTCACATTCAGTGTTTGTTTTACAGTGAGTCGTGAAAGGCAGCACGCACCCCGGGAGTGTTGTCACCAAGCGCCTTTGGAGCTTTGAACTGTGTCTATGAACACTATATGTTAGTGTGATTTTAGGTTTTATATGTTATTTGGTGTGATTTGGCTGGTTATTTTTGGGTCTGAGAATGCTCAAAATATTTTCCCATATAAATTCATGGTGATAGCTTCCATTTATGTCATTACATGTGGGGGAAACATGAGTTTTTGATGTACACTGACACACCTGCAAATCAATGTGATATATATAAATGAAAAGTCAGCTGTCAGGCACCCCTTAACTAATATGGGGGTTTCATAACTGATGTCTGCAATTGCGTAAGTAGAGTGTGTAACAAGGATCCTTGCTACATACTCAGATTTAAAAGCTATATGTGTTGCCTTTTTTTTTTTTCATGTAATTATGTGGTCAGTCTGAGTGTGAATTGTCTTCTTAATTGACAACTTCCACGTTAGTTAATCACTGACTTTAATGGAACCCTTCCATGTAACTACTCACTATTTATTACTCACAGTTCTGAAATTTCAAGTGTAAATCTCACCAAATCAGAATGTCATAATCTTTTTCTCTGCTGCCAAATTTGGATAATCTCTGTTTTAAAAAGTAAATGAAGGATGCTAAACTAGTTGCTCTGCATGAATACAGGTTCTGATCTCCCCTCACTCTTTCCTGGAATTCTGAGGCCCATACAGTGTGTTTCCCTGCACTCTCTCATGCACCCTTCCTTTTTCCTCTGTCACTCCTAGTATGGATAACTCTTTATAACTCTTGCTCTGTCCCTCCCTTCTCCCACCTTCCCCCTTCCCTATCTTCTGTGTGTGCTTATTGGTGTGAAACCCTGGGTCATTTAGCCCATGCAATAATAGCACTCGACTTGTCCCCCTGTTCCTCCAGGAAAGGAAGTTCTTCAAAGGCTTCTTTGGAAAAGTAAGTTTGATACCACATTTGTGCTTGCTTTATAAGGAGTTACACCCCTAGTACAGCACTGACATTTTAAGCAAAAACAAAAGAAGTACAGCTTGGATTTCCTTATAACACAGTAACTGATTTAACAGTGTATGGAAATTAATTCATTGAAAAGTTGCCATCTATGATATCCTCTGTGTGTCTGTTGATTCTAATGCTGGTTGATGGTTCCTAGGAAAGTCCAATAAACGAATCTCAAGTAGTTTAAAAAGATGAGGCGTCAAAATGATTTTCCTTTGGTCTTGCAAAACTCTGCTCACATTAACATTGTAGGTGAACTTTTAACAAGTGGATTTTACTTAGTAGCTACTTTTGACAGAGAAATGGGAAGAAATACTGAATTCAAGTGGAAATTAAATGTGTACAAAATTTACATTAAACATTACTACTTTTTAAAAATCTAAGTTAAATTTCAAGTGAGATAATGAAAGTACATAAACATATCTTTGAAGATCCTACTACAATTTTTAACCTGGGTTACTAATCTAAGAAAAAACATCATAATTATACGTTTATCAAATACTTGTCATACATGAATTGTTTATGTGGAAGCTTTCCATATAATGACTGTTTAATATTCGGATCTCTTTAGAATTAAGAATCGATAGAGTGACTGTCCACAAATAGGTAAACACATTTTTTGATGTTCAAGTACTGGTGAACCCTCATTTAGTTTTGAGGAAGGACTACAAAGTAATTTAGACTGACAGAGAAGAAAAAACTATCCTTGGACAAGGGAGTATAAATTACTAAATGTTTATGTGGATATAAAACTTAAATTAGTTCTCTACTGGATAATTTTGTTATTTTGGAAATTTGTTTTAAATATAAGTATAGTTTCCATTTCTTTCTTATTTAAAACTTTAGTGTAATCAGTTTTTACATTATCTTATTCGAGGTTAGGTCACTTTTACAATAATGTAAAAACTTTCTGAAGGATTTGCATGGCTTAATTCAAATTGTTGCTGTCACGCTGAAATAAAAATTCAAATAATTTACCCATACATTTAAAAATAAAAATGTTGGTAGACATTTTAAGTCAAAATCAATTTAATAGGTCCTTAGTCATTGGATCCAGATCTAGAAAGAATTAATCTTACATATATTTGTACCATTATAGTTGTTGTTGTTAAGTGCCATCGAGTTGATTCCAAGTCACAGTAACCCTGTATATGGTTTCCAAGGCTGTAAATGGGGTGTTTGAAGGGAGTGTAATCATTACAAAGAAACAAGATGCGATTGGTTGAGTGCAAAACTGATGTTTTGCCATGTAGACTATCCCTCAGTTCACAGTGAAAGCTTTAAAAAAAAAAAGTTAAATACAAATTTGACCATATCAATTTCCTATTTTAGAACTAGTTTGTATTAACCAGTCATAAAGAGAAATGAAATCCTGATACATACTATAGCATGGATGAACCTTGAAAATACGAACCCAAAACCAAAACCACAGCCATTCATAGCTACCCTGTATAGAGCTTCCACAGCTGTAAAGCTTTAAGGAAACAGAAAACCTCATCTTTCTCCCACAGAGAAGCTGGTGAGTTTGAACTGCCTACCTTGTGGTTAGCAGTCCAGTGATATTCTACCAGGGCTCCTTTTGAGAAAAATAAGTAAACCACAAAAGGACAAAAATATACGATCTCACCTATGTGAAATAGGCCAATACAGAGAGATCAAAGATTATCAGTGGGTACCAGTGGTGACAGGAAGCACACTGGTAGCATAGTGGTTACACATTGTGCTGCTAACCACAAGGTTAGCAGTTCAAATACACCAGACACTCCGCAGCAGGGGTGATAGAGAGAGGGGGAGTCATTGCTTTGGGAGCACTGAGTTTCTGTTAATGGTGGTGGGATCCTGGGCAAAGAATAGCTGTAATGGCTGCACAGCATGATGCTGTAATGCATGGCATTGAATTGTACATATAGGAATTACCGAATTGGAAAATGGTTTTATATATATTTTTTACTACAATTAAAGAAGAAAGAAAGATAGCTGTCACTTCAAAATCAGTCCTGAGGTGGACATGATGTTCGTTGCTATAGGTAATGGGGATCCTGGTGTGGCGCTGCAGGAAAATGCACTAGACCACAAGGTCGGCAGTTCAAGCTCACCAGCCACTCCTTGGAAAACCCTATACAGGGTCTCTGTGAGTCGGCATTTAACAACAACAACAGTGTATAGTGGGGTCTTGTGGAGCCACAGTATAGCTGAACTGGAACACATTTCTTAGTTGTTTTTGCTGCATTTTGGTACTTAACAAATTTATATGGCATGAGAGAAAAAAATTATAAATCATCCCACTTAGTCTTTAGAATAACCCTAAAATAGTCATTGTCTTTGTTTTACAATGAGAAACTGAGGTTTACAGAGATTAAATTACCTGCCTAAATTCAGATCCGCCAAGTGGTAGAAGTTAGGATTTGAACCTAGATATTCTAATTCCAGAGGCTACACTCTTAATCCCTGTGCTGTACAATCACTCTGGTGTGGCACTGTAAGATAAGCACTTGACTGCTAACCACAGGGTTGTAGGTTCAAACCTACCAGCTGCTCCTCAGCAACCTTATGCAGGGTCACTATGAGTCAGAACCAACGGGACAGCACTTAATAACAATACAGTTCATCTGTTTACAAGTGAGATTTAAAAGATTTAATGTTAAATGCTGATAGTAAATAAGAAGCTTCCTTGAAACTCATTTTTATGTTCTAACTTTCTTGTAAAAGATAGTAATTTAACTTTGGATTTTATTTCTAGTCAGTCTATTTTTTTATTAGTTAAAAAATTTAAAAGTTAATTATTTTTTATTGGTTCAAACTAATTTTGTTTGTGTGGATCTATTTGAATCCATCTGAACTCTGAGCTTGACTCCCTCAGGGATTCTTAAAAGACATTAGCAATTCCATCATATCATCCATGAACCAACATAGCGATCAGAATTATTTTCTTAGGCTTTGGCAAAAAAATTTTTCATGGCAGCATGATTTTATTCTTATAACTTTTTGAGAATTGAAGTAAGTGATTTATAGTATTTGGAAACAGAGGGAGGATTGATGTGATAATCTTACCAGAAATGTGCTTTTAAAGAAAAACTTTAATTTGAAACTTTTAACATCTTTCAAGTTACTCCACATTAATCTCCAAGAAATAAGCAGATGAAAAAAGCCTTGATTTGTTGATTGTGTTAGGTCAGTTATGGCTTAATGAAAGCTAAAATGAAGGCTCTCATAGAAAAACATTTAATAGTTTTTATCCAATACAATGCACATAAATTTTGGTAACTTTCTTCGACTTCACATCATGTATACATTGGTCCAGGATAAAGAGAACAGCACTTATCAAAAAACATTTCTATCTAGCACTTTTGCATAGAGTAGGTAGATGGAAGAATTATTAGCCATGATTCTGAATAGGAAGCGTGCCCGGGAAGACTGCTTCCTCTTTTTCTATCACCAGCTGATGGGATCAGTGTTTCCAGAGGCTTGAGCAGTAAGGAAAGGATAAACCTGGTGTGCAGCAGAATTGATTAGCCCCTTATAAGCTTAGCTACATTTTGAAAGAGAGGTGGGAAATGAGAATGTGAAACAACTTTTTCCAAACTAGCTACATTAAATTGCTCACTACTTTAGGAAAGTCAATAATGCACCCAATTTTTAGATATTACTATATGCTGCTTCATTAGTAAATCTGACCGTGCTACCGAAATACTTTACTACCAGGTATTATTATATATAGGACACTTAACATTTAAAAAAGCATTTCATAATTTTAATGTATTTGAGGAGCCCCAGAAATTAAGTAATCTACATTCTCATTTTGTGAGGTAACTGACTCAGTGTAGAAGTAGAAAATGTTCTTAGGTTACACTGTTACATCTTTGTTTAAAGCCATTTATTTGTATTTATATAGAGCTTTATAGTTCATAATGTGCTTTGACCTACTTCTAATTTGCTATTCATAACATCTGAGTGAATTAGGGGAGTTAATGCAACTTCATTTTGCAGATGAATAAACTGAAGCTCAAAGAGGTCACCTCACTGTAAATGGCAAAAATTTTCTGAAATTTGGTGCCCGGTTCTTTCACCTACACCATGTTGTGTTTCCTCATTCATAAGTATTGACCTCTGCTTTCTTCAGGTATTCCTTAATGAGAGGAATGGAGACGTGTTGACAGAAGAGGATAGTAGACTGGTCACGAGTCTGCAGGTGTTATAACACAGAGCTTACAAATTTGTACTAGTTGCCAATATTTTAAACACTGAGAGCTTTTACATAAAAACTGTAGAAGAGCTGGTGAAATGGCTTTCTGTGTGGCAACAGTGGCTTGAACAGAGTAGCAACTGTCCCTTTTGGTTGTCTGTTCACCATGATCTCTGTTACTCCGTTGTTCCTTATACTTGGCCTGTTTCATGCCTTTCGTAACTGCCTTAACCCTATAGGCAATTGATTTGACCTCCCTGAGTTATTATATAACTTTGATCTTTTGGCTTTGGTCTAATAATTTCTAATGCTATCACCAAAAGTATTTCAATATATGTCCTAGTAGATCCTGTTAATACACTGCCAAATAAGTTTTTCATATGTTTATGCTCTTACAGTTGTTACGTAAATGACTTCATTGTTGTTCCTAAGTGCCATCAAGATTAGAAATAGTTATAATAGAAAATATGCAGTTGAAGAACAGTCACACGTGGTTATTATAGTTTTCACCTAATTTTCTTTTTTTTTATATATATTGATAACTTCTCCCCTGAGTACTTTCACTTCACCCCATAGGTATGCTGTGTCTTAAAGTACTTTATGATTTCCCTTGTGCTTTCTTCTTTAGCCCATTGGTTATTTAATAGTGTGTTGTTTATTTTCCACATCTTTGGTGAAATTTCCAGGTTTTCTTCTATTATTGATTTCTAGTTTCATTTCATTGAGGTTGGAGTAGTATGTATTTTTTATGATTTCA